TATAATTACCATTCCTCGGAACTTTGTTCCAATCTTAATTCCTAATACTATTTCTTCAGGCTTGGTCTATTATGGGTATGTGAAAACTGTCAAGTTTCACCAAACACTTCAGATTGACCACCTATGCAGGGTTATTTGCTTTGTACATTTTACTAATATTGTTCTATGCGTGAGTCAAGTTCCTCCCAATAACCACCACCATTTTCATTCTTGGCATTCTGAGCAGGCAACAAGAGTACGCATTCTTACTAAACTCCGAATTTTATCTGTTGATTCGCTCGATAGTCATCAAGCATGACCGCATTCACAAGAGAGTAAGTACAAGTGCCACATTGTTCATACATATATGAGCTTCAGTACAATGACACCTTTCGTTGAATCCAGCTTATCCGCGACAATGGTTCTCCGACTGATGCTGAACCTTCACGAGAATGTCTCCAAAGGCGTTCTGCATACCGATTCTAGTAACGATGAACACGAATTAAATCCCCGCTCTGCTATGATGTTCAACACAAATCCGGCTTTAGTATCAGGAATAGGGACAACGATGTCGATGGCGCAACCAACAAATAACACGGCAACGGTGAAGTCGAGGAATCTGATTAGTAGTAGTAGTGGCTTCGAGGCAGTATCCTGAGTCGTACGTAATGGAAATAACGAGGACTCATACGGGTTCAGAATCAGAGAACATGAAGGTCACTGTCTATAGTGTTGGACCGTCATTTTCTACATGTATTACGATTATCGTAACGGTACTTAGTTGGATGTTTTCAATAGAACATACTCAATAGATATGTAATACATAGCACTACCGACGGTCTACCGTAGGCTTTTTATATAGAGTTTCTGCATTGCCGCCTACCTCGACAGCCGAGAATTCAGTGGTTGCCAGTGGTTGCCCCGATTGGTACTTTTAATTATCCGTTCAATATAGATATAAAAAGTAACGGCGAATTCCAGAGAGAACTAAGCCTTTCTACTCCATCCTACTTCATCCTCGTCTTCCGAGTCAAAACCCAAACGCCTTTGAAGCTTCGGAATCTACAAAACTGTCTCCCTCAATTTGCCTCATAACGCCAAGACTCGGCGTCATTTATCAGCTTCGAGGCGGTTCGGCAAAAGATATTCCAATTCCTTACGAGGAAACTCTGAAAGAATTGGGTCGACTTGAATCTTTTTGTTCGATATATATCCTCAGCACTCAGGATGACTAAATCGGCAAACTGTTGATTTCCAAAATTTAAACTCCAAGTTCTCGTTCAATGAGCAGAAAACTGAGGCTCCATTATCTAATAACAAGAACAACGGCGTAGCCAGAAGCCAGAAGCTCAGGCTTGATTTGACTTCATACGTCATCCGAGTCTTGGCTTGGTAGGCAAGACTCAAAATGACTGCCACTACCTCGCATTTATCCGCAGCAAGGTCCAAAATATCTTGGCTGCTTTTTTTCTGCTTTTTGAATTCCTTCTCTCTCTCAAATCAGAATATCCGGCAAGCAACTGCGACTATCGCACAAACGCGGATCACTCCCTTGTTCGCCATTCTTGCACCATATCGTGCGGTTCGCTGAACATGTAAGTTATTTTTCTTCTTTTTTTTCGTAGATTCATCGTCGATATCCATGCAGCAAATCTCGCGCATCGAGGCGTATACCTTCAGCTCGATTCATTGCCTATTCTGCACAAACCAGTTTCATCCTCCTTCTGCACCATTCACTTCAACCACACTTCAACTCGACCAGCTCTTCGGCGAGCGCGATGTCTTCACAATCTGCATCTGCTGAAGGCAGTAGCACCGATTTAATATCCCTCACCGTCAACTATGTCCCATCAAAATTTTCTGGGGCATTGCTTGAACCTTCTAGGCCGCGGCGACGGAGACCAAAGAATGCCATGAGTGGCGTTGGAGCCATGGGTATACCTCGTGGTGGAGGTATTGACGCGTTCAGAACGGGCGAGGCCAGGATACCTGGGGAGAACGATGAAGACTATGACGGTGTCAACGTATCCAAATCCTGGCGAATTGGTAACAAATTTTTCAGAAGAACAAAACAACCCACGAAACTTCGTTGGAACACGTTCAAAATCATTCTCTTTGTGTCCAACGCAGTCTTTTCAGTGTACACTCTAATAACCCTAATACTCTGCCTTCTCACATGGTTCGACGTTTTCCAAAACGCCGACGTTATCCGAGTAGGAAATCGAACAGAGCTCATTTTTAGCACTCTCGCCGCGACATTCGGACTGTTGACCGCTGTCATTGGTTGGGCAGGTATCCTGCTGAACAATCGCGGTTTCCTGGCGGTCTACACGTTCTTTCTCTGGATAACCTTCGCGTTCCTAGTCGTCCCTGGCTATCTCACGTACAAAAAACGGACCTTCAACCTTGAAGGCAAACTCAACGCGCAGTGGTCCCGAGCACTTGGAGCAGAAGGCCGATTACGGATCCAAAACCGACTACAATGTTGTGGATGGTTTTCGCCTTTTGTCGAGGCCACCATTTCGCAGACATGTTATGCTCGATCAATACTTCCAGGATGTAAACTAGCATACCTAAATCTGCAGAGGCATATACTAAAAAAGTGGTACACGATCTCATTCGGACTTGTGCCTCTGCAGCTCGGTGCTATCATCGCGGGACTGTTGTGCTCCAATCACGTCACGTATAGGTTCGGGAAGGGCATGATGCCAAAGAGATACCAGTTGAACTCAAACGCGATGAAGGTGATAGTGGACAATTACACGAAGTGAGCATTTGGTGTACTAGCGTTCCTTCTGAACATTTAACCAATTTTCTCTATTAGCGAAATCGCGGAACAGTATGGTAGAGACGTCGCTTCCGATGTCATCGTCAAGTCTGGCATGCAAAGTTACGGATCGAGTCTTGTTCACGATCATAGTGATTCGAACCTACTAAGTTCTCCTTCGCCAAGTAGGGTCGGGAGAAGGGAGATGTCAACTATGGCAGACCTATGATAGAGAAGCTACCAGCTCCGTCGACATCGAGTGAGTGGAATATACGGGCATTTGGGCAATGGACAGTGATATATATTATACACGGAGGTTCTGTGGCGCTCATTATTTCTCTTGGGGTTCACTTGTATACACGCAAGATTCATTAATTGCTAGTCATACTCCTGAGCAATTTCTGGGGTTTTAACCTGTCGTCAGATTTGAGGGGAGTTTGCACAAAAGTACAACCCGAATTTTGAGAGAGCCGACGTAGCAGAGAGTTCAGCCACGCCCACCTTCCTTTCAATGCCCGAAAAATATCAACACTTCACTCGCGGAAAAAGTTGAACATAAGAAGACACAGATTTGAGTTGAAGCTAATAAGAAAGAGGCGCAAAACGTAAATGCCTCCTGCCAGACTTGAACTAGCGGCCTTTGCATAGTCGATTATGAGTTGTCAGTGACTACGAGTGCAACGCTCTACCACTGAGCTAAGAAGGCAATATAATCGTAACATTTTTAATACAGCATAGCCTCTGACGTGACAGTCTCCAACTAGTAGAAAGTGACGGGGCGCTCTGCGTTGAATCTCTACATCCTTCGACTATACCTTCACTACGAGGAAAACCATTTGGTAAGGAAATTTCACAATCTCATCTGCGGAATCCCAATATTTATATACTCAAACCCACCTTCTGTATCAGGTGGAATCAACGCGTACCATCAAACCAAGATTGAAGCCAGTGGATCTCATAAATAACCAGAAAACGCACTAGATTGTGGACAGTTTCAATAGACTGCTGTCTTTGATCTGACTCTATTCCAGATGGTATCTCCCCGCATCATCTTGCTACAACAACATGCACAGCACTTCGAGTAATCATCCTAATCCTCAACCTCCTGATCAATTGCAAGACTCGATGCCCCTTCTATGCAAATTTCCTCGACTACGATATAATGAACAAGGTCAACATACTGCAAACTAATCTTCCTGGAAAATGACTTCGTTCTTCGCATCATGAATCACGCCTTTCCCTGGTCCCTTCGCAGTCCCTGTACATCTTCCTTGACACGCTTTAGCAGAGAACGTAAACTCTGCCTCGGTCGGAATCATCTTGGGTGAAGAAAACCAATTAGTGAAAACTACTTGAATCTCTCCGGCTATCCCTAGTTTCGACTTTGCTGCATTCAACAGACTTCTAACAGCCGATTTGATTGCATTTTGGACTTGGAAGGATTTTCTGGAACCAGTTATAGGGAAGGTGACTGAAATCGTGGTCTTTGGCTCGGGATTATTGCCCCTGGGTCTCGCATCGAGAATGGGGGCTCGAGTAGATACGATCGTACCATCGAAACTATGCACCAAGTCTGATCCTTGAGGCGGGACGACCGCGTCAGAGGTAGAGCGGGATTGTGGTTTGTCAAGGCCCTGAAAAATTGGAACATACGTCGGTCCATAATATCGCGTAAGTCATGATGTGATTGCAACTCACATATAACGGTGATGCGTATGCGGCGTAAGCAAGCCCGAAGACAAAGCAGGAAGCGAAACTAAAATGCATGGCGACGAAGTAACTGGTTTACGATTATATGCTGAAAGAAATCTGCAGGTAAGTTCAGGGTTTAGAGGTGGACACAACAAGTAGAAGTCAACGGACTCTCGATCACAGATCAAGCAGGAGTAGGAGAAGTTGAGATTTAAGACAAAGCTCTCTTTGACCAGCAAAGAAGAGTGTAGCAAGTGCGAGACGGGTCGAGGGGAGATGAAAGGCGTAACTACAGACAGATATAACTCCAGCCTCTTATTTATGGCCTTCGACTCTGTGATTTAACAAACACTCGGTTCCGCGGTAAGGAAATACGAGGAAACTATATTCGAGTTGCCTGCCATGGTACCGTGTTTCGCACGATACTCTATAGCTACATAGACTATGTCGAGCGCTGCTCAAGTCGCCTATGTACCAAAAAGAATACTTTCAGTCAACATAAAAACATAAACAATTCCTGATACGAAAATTGTTGGAAAGATTCCTACAAGGAAGCTGTATATGCCTCCTAGCCGGATTGAACGACTGACCTTTGCATATAATCATGACTGATTACAAGTGCAACGCTCTACCACTGAGCTAAGAAGGCGATGCAAGTAATTAAGGTGAGTAGAATGATGATAACGCTCTATCACTACCTCAAATCTATCAAACTCTTCCATGAAGCGTACGCGCTAACAATGCAGATATTACGTAGAAGGTAAACAGTACAATAAGCTACACAAGATAAATGAAGAAGGTAAAGATACACACAAACACCGACCCTTTACTCGGGACAAAAATTCAATATCGGTGCCCATGTCCGTGTCTACTAGAACGATGATGATGATGCCTTCTGCTGGGTTTAGTGACCACGACGACAGGAGCTTGTTGTGAAGCAGCAGAAGGCATCATTGCACCAGTACCACCATATTGCATTTGCGGCTGAGCCATGGTAGAAGGATAAGTTAATCCCGGCGCGGATGAATACATGGCGTTGGCGTTGGCATAGGGGACAGAGCCTCCAACTCCCACCGTATTCGTATTTCCCATCATTCCCGCTCCCATCGTCCCGGCTCCCATTGTTCCGGCACCTATGCCTCCCATGCCTCCCATCGTTCCAGCGCCCATCGTCCCGGCTCCCATGCCTCCCATTCCACCGGTCCCCATACCTGCTCCCATCGTCCCGGGTGCCATCATACCTGCTCCCATCGTTCCAGCTCCCATCATACCAGCTCCCATCGTTCCAGCTCCCATCGTTCCAGCTCCCATCGTTCCAGCTCCCATCGTCCCGGCACCCATGCCTCCCATAGTTCCAGCTCCCATGGAACCAGCTCCCATGCCACCGATCCCCCTATTACCCAAGCCTCCCATATTCCCAACGCTCGCCGACCCTGCGGTCCCAGGTCCTTCCAAACCTCCAAAAAGACTCCGTGCACGACGACGTAGGCCAGGGAAAGCGGAGGAGCTGGTGAGCGCAGATCCTGGAGTAGCCTGTGGAACTGTGGAGGCTACACCGGCTTGTGGAACGACGCCAGGGACACCAGCTTGAGGAAAAGTGGTCGCCATACCTACTTGAGGAACAGCGGCAGGAACGCCGGTAGCCACACCTACTTGAGGCATAGCAGAAACCATTGGGATAGCAGAAGCTACGCCAACTTGAGGTACAACGGGCACGCCCGCTTGAGGAACAGTTGGAGCGACTCCAGCTTCAGGGAAAGCAGAGGGTACGCCAGCCTGAGGTACAGTAGAACTGATACCAGCTTGAGGGAGTGCGGTAGTAACGCCAACACCAACAGGTGTGGTAGATACCGAAGCGCTAGTGGTAATAGGGGAAGGTGTGGAAGCAGAAACTACAGCAGGTACGACACCAGAAGGTGCGGTAGGAGCGACAGATTCATTAATTACTGCACCATTAGTTGAACCGTTATACAGACTGGCAGTTGTATCAGGAATTGTTGAAACCAGTGTCGGATTACCGTAGGATCCATTGTACGATCCTTGTTCAACTACACCTTATGATAAAGTGGGGATCATTTCATGATGATAGGACTAACCAGGTAGTTGCGATTGTGCACCAGGAACAACAGCTGGAGCAAAATGAACCTAGATCCAATAAAAGCGGTCAGCAGTGAGGGCGTTATTCCAGAGAGTACAGAGAACCTACTTGATTCATTCCATTGTAAGTCATTTTGAAGAATTTGTTAAAGGACAATATAAACGTAGGAGTAGCGAGAAATGTTGTATGGAATTTCATAAAACATACGGAGAAAACATATCTATGTACCAGTAGCAATTGTAAATGACGTTCATCCTGGCGTCACACAAATTTTTTCGTCAGAGATAACGGAGGAGCAAAGAAGAAGCGGGAAATAGCCTACCGGCACATTTCGGGGTTCTCCATACTTTTCCGTCTTTTGCTTTCAAGCATTTATACTGGATGTATGAACTGAACGTTCAATTTCGACCATTCATCCTCAAAACCTCAACGATGTGGTGCTTTGGCCTCTTGAACTTTTCTCATACAAGATCGTGTTGGAGCCAATTTTTCACGTTCGCATACGCCGCGCGTAGCTACACACGCCCCATAACTCTGCATAGTTCTTCGCGTTGCTTCGTGCACAACTATTTGTCTAAGCAAGCAATTCAAGGGTCTATGGCGGCCATTCGAATGCATCCTCAAATGAACCATCCTCGCAGGCAGAGCAAGTATCAACTCACCGTCATAGACGTTCTGGCCAAAGCATCATGATCGGTAACTTTAGAGTCAAGCCATCCTCACCGACTCTGCATAAAAAGCACGGTTGGTTCCCATACTCGACCTCTAGGCTGATAGTAGTCACAAAGGCCCTGCTTGAGCGTGTAAGTCTCATTCTTGTCCACTTATGTCTTGTTTCAACGGCTAAATAGTAACTCTAGCCCAAATTTTTCTTTTAAGCAAGATAACTGAAACCGAGAGAAGAACTCACGATTTTTGTGACAAAGTTCCTCTCGATGTCTGGATGACCGAATTGATTCTTGGGGTCCCCGTCACTTGAGAGGACCTCTCACATATCCTTCATCAGGATCCGGCTTCAGGCGAAAGCCGAGCCTTGGACGTTGGAGGACAAGAGTGACGGCGCCAGTGACCTGTGCAAGTCGTACCCATCTAATCTTCGGATCACGATACTCAAAATGCTCTGGATCCAATCATCCGTAAGCGCAGTGCTCCTCAGGCCTTTGGCCTGCTATCATTCAAGGCCTCGTGTGTTAAGACCGCTCCTCGAGGGGAACGAGCTACTTATTGGACCAGCACCCAGCTTCCATTGTTTTTTCGGCTAACGACTTATTTGACCACCACTTCTAAGTATCCTCGAAGCAGGTATTGACCCCACTTCCTTTGATTGCCAAAAGACCTTAAAGAGAAACTGAAATTGGCCGGTCAATGGTGAGCGTCAAATTGCTCTTATTGTTCCACGAAATGAGCGACATTGACCATCACGTGTCGGGTCTTCAAAAGGACGCGCTTTTCGACTTGCAAAACCCGACATCTTCTTGTTTTTCAACAGTCGCCAGTCATCCACTTCGATCCTCCCAATCTCACTTACTCACTTCTCTTGCTAGCATCTTCCGGACACTCCTTCGACACGATGCCAAAAGCCAAACAAAATTCAGTCTCGACGACTCCTCAGAGAATCCCTCGCCCTCGGAACGCGTTCATCATCTTCCGGAACGACCTGGTGTTGACGAGGGCCAACGAAGGAAAACAGACTCAGTCTTCAATCTCCAAGGAGGCTTCTAGACTTTGGAAAGCTGCCTCGCCCGCGGTCAAACAGGAGTACCAGCTCCGTGCCGAGCAAGAAAAGAAGGAACATGCTGAGAAATATCCTGGTTATGTTTACAAGCCCAGGACAAGAGAGCAGATTGAGAAGGACAAGGCTGAGCTGGCTCGATCTAAGCGTAGGGTAACGGGAGCTGGTGCTCCTCATTATCGTACGTTTGCGTTGGACGATGGGGTCGAGGATAGTTCCACGGACGAGAGCTCTTCCTCTCTCCGTTCCTTCTCCCCGACATCTAGCGTGAGCGACCCCGCTTTCAATGGAGACCACACTTCTTCATACAACTCTGGCGATTCTTCTCCAGACTTTGGAAGTCGGGAGGTCTCGCCTTACTCGAACGTTTCCTCCGGGTTTCTCGCTGGCGAGAGCGCTTGGGCCCCTAATCCTTCATCACTTGAAGGGCAGTTACACGATGTAAGTTTCCCCCATCAACTATGATCAACACTCTAATTCTCACATGTCTGTCAACAGTCTTCACTTGGACTGTCTTCTACCTTCGACACGTCGTTTTCGCAACAATCCTTTGAGGAAGCCAATGCCACGATGTATAATGCTCTGGCTCAGGGGGACTTCTTCCGAACTATCGACGGTATGGTCACCAACCAAAACATCGATCCCACTGCCATAGCTTTGAATGCTCCGGGCTACAACGAATCCACATCCGCCTGGGACGCTTTTGCCTTGAACGCGTCGAATTTCGGCGAAGCCTCTACTAGTTTCTCTAACGCAGAGACCGGATTCGATGTTAGCTCTTTCAATGATCATCAACAATTCGGCTCGAGCTCTTCCACCGAATTGCTACCTGAACTCGATCCCTCACTGTTACTAGGAAACTATCTTGGAAGGGATGAGCTTTACCAGCGCTATCAGCCAATTGATTATCAGCTTGAACTCTACCGGCTTCCTAGCTATGATGACTGAGCGTTGTCGTTTTCATGCCGGAGCTTTACCCTGTATTGGCTAAAGCTTGCGACGTATTTTCTCAAATGATTGTTTAACGATCTGTTTTTTTTTGCATTCCCGCATTTTTTTTACAGTTATCTCTCTATTCCACTGTTATAGCACTCATTGATAGCATTTGTAAAAACCCCTCAACCACGTCATTTATCGACGCTTCCTACTTTCCGCATTTTTCCTGCATTTGTAAATTCTCAAAGCACATTGCTGTGGACACTTACTACTCTCTCTTGCTTTCCCTGTTGCATGACCTACATCTTTTCTACGTACAAGTCTGAACACAAAGAGTTGCAACTGAATAAATGAATTCGGAGCAACTTCTACTTTCAATGATCTCAGTACTCGCACCTCATTTTTCGATATTTTCTGATATTCACAATGAGGAACGAAAGGTACAAAAAATTTATCGGAAGTCGACAAGGTTATGAGAAAAGCTTGTTGACTGAGGTATTACCTTCTTGGTTCTTTTTCATGACCTAGGCAAATATATTGTCAAAAGACGAAATTAAAAATTTGATAGACTGCAGCACCTTTGCGACGGCAAACTCGAAATCTTCCTGTGTAACGTGTTGTCGACGTTCTCGAAGAGCGTACATTCCTGAGAGCGCCGTGAGCTGATAGTCACCACTGCGATATAGCATTACACCTACCGGCCTCTGTACAAATACCTCTAACCTCCGCTCCAGAGCATTGACCCATCTTCTCCGCAAGTGCGCGCAAGTTGATCCCTCGTTGAAGCGACATCTATGTGTCACATGAAGACAAGAATTATCATTGAGAGGAGGAAAGGACCAACCTTCCTAGAATGGATACGCAAGATGGACACTCGGGCTTC